TCTAATTTCTCCTCACTTCTATCTCTTGCCATTTTTTCCTGACTGGTTAATTTTAATTCCAGAACATACTGCTCCTTGTCTAATTGTATCCTCTCCACAATTTGGTACAAGAAGCCAGATTCTCTTCCCGTAACAGCTGGTGATGACACATTCCTGTTCTAAATGACTCCCAGGATGTCTGACTCATTTTAAAATTCCACATTATGATGAGGCAAAATTAATAAGACTGGCAAATGGAACAGTCCCACTTCTCCTTAAGCATTCCCCCAGTTGCATCTGTAGAGAAGTCACCTGGTGAGTCCAATGGCCTTTTGAGCATGCCTGTGTCTTACAGGTGCAGCTCACAGGTGTACCTGATGGGGTGCTTCTCACAGATATATCTCATAAGCGCATCTCATAGGAGTTTTCTATGGGCTACCTCACAGGTATGCATCACAGAGGTGTGTTACAGATGTCTCACAGGTGTGCCCCACAGGTCTATTTTTATGACTTTCTTGAGTCCACCCCAATCAGAGACCCCAAGGCATTACTAGTAGATATTTAAGAATGTGAGATGGGGATGGACAATCAGTGCAGCGCCATTGCCTTGAGACATTTATGTAGAGCCCCTATCAACATGAGTTTAGGGCTCCTCTAGGGATTACTGAGTTCCTACACCCCTAAACCAGTATGCCTATAGGCTCCATAGTAGCACCACAGGTGGATGTTAGATGGGTTAGGCTCAGAGTGAATGAACTCCAAGCTAAATTTGTCCACTGCCCCTGCCTATGGTTTCCTCTATGGTTCCCGCACCTGTACAGCTTCCCTGTGGTACCAGAGCAGGTTGGTGGGTCTCAAAGTGGAACAAGGTGACCTCTGTAGACATTTACGTCTCATCCAGCACAGATAAAATGTCATGCCTGTTCCAAGCTATTCCAGAACTGAATGCCAAGCATATGTCTGCCAGTGGCCATGTCAGAGGAGCAGCAGGTGGAAGTTGAAGGTGTCAGCCCACCAGGAGGAAACTCTCTGATGGATCAATCTCAGACAGACAAGGTCCTAAGACCACAGACACTGGGATGTCTTTTGCTTCTGCTGTGTCTTTACATGTTTGCTGCTACTGTCTTTCTCTGGTATCTGGCATGGTGTGATTGGGTGTGGGGAGATCTTCACTGCCTGTAATGTAGTGTGTTTATCTCATGGAAACATCCTGTTCTACTGGGCATTTTTACCTGTGGATTATTTTGAAAATGATTTCTAAATGTTGGGATATGTGTTCATGGGTTTCAGTGTGCATCACAGATGAAACAAAGCTTTGAAAATAAAGTTAGATTAAGATGTTTATATCAAATAGCTTTAAGGTGAAAAACTCAAGAAGATGATCTAAAGTTTTAGAAAGGCACATAGTTGAATGTGGAACTCTTTAAAGTCAAGGAACAAGAACAAAGCAGCCCAATTATCACTAGCTGACACATCTTTTTTGCTAGGATTGGTTGATGACCAAAGGTGATGATTAATTCCTTATACCCATTTCTGCCCTCAATCTCCTGCTACAAAAAAACTATTGTTGAGTGGGTATGCACCCTAAAGACTTAAAGTAGAGCTGGCTGATTCTTTTTTATATACAAAAGTTTAGATTTGTGATTCCTTATAAGATTACCTGTTGTTTGAGTTTTCCTGCCTGGCCCACAGTCAGGACAAATCTCTCTCACCTGCCAGTAGCTCAAACCCGCAGCTGTCGCTCATTTGAGAGAGACAATTAGGAACTGTTTTTAGTTTTATTTTAGAATCTTTTTTTTTTTAGTTTTTAGGTGGAAACTCTTGTCACCACGTTGGACGCCATTTGTAGATAGAGTTTTCCTGCCTGGCCACGGGCCAATCAGTGATTTATTTATTGACCAATCAGCAACACATTTGACATACAGACCATCCCACAGCACTTCCCCTTTTCTTTTCTTAAAAAGGAAGGTTTTAACCTTTACACATCTCCAAAGTCAGCTTGGTATATTTGGGAATTTGGGCGTAGCTTTTCTTACTACTTCCTGCTGGAGGGGGGCGCTGTATCTTCTGGGGAAACAAAGAAAATTTTAGGATCATGGAGTAGTCCATGAGGCTGTATCGTCTGAGCCAGTTGCCTTGAAACCATTTTGGATGTTGGATCATCTGGGCCTTGGTGTCACCTTTTAGGGGGTCTTGGCTGGTCAAACCTGATGTATCTTAATCTGGAACAAATCCATAGTCTCTGGCTTTTTGTGGAAACAAAAGCAGAATCTTTTTTTTAAAGTAACATATCCTTATATCTAAATTTTGAAGTCAAGGTACCTTTAAAATATACATTTTGGCATAACTCAACAGCTTTTGTAATCAAATTTTTTTTTTAGTTACGAATATCAAAGAGAACATAATCCAGATTCTCTGTGTGGTAGCCATCTTTATGTGGCTTATTTTTTTATATTAGCTTGAGCCTATTGCTTTAAACTGTAGCCTTTTAAGCCTGAAATGGCGCTGGCGCTGTGGCTGCTGGCTCCGCCCACTTTAGCTTTCCAATATGGCGGTGATATGTTTTCTGCCAGCTCTGGGAGCCATCAGCTCTCAGAAATAGTGGGTCTATGCTTCTATCAAAGCAGCGTGTAGCCCAGAAACCTCTTTTTTTTGTTTTGTTTTGTTTGAGCTACTGGCAGGTGAGAGAGATTTGTCCTGACTGTGGGCCAGGCAGGAAAACTCAAACAACAATTACCTTTCAAGATAAGTAAGTGCAAAGTGAAACTTGCCAGTAAAAGACCTGACTGAGAAGAATATCTTTTTTGCCTACTTGGTTAATTTATAATAAGTTGCTTGGGTATGAATGTATGTGGGTTCTTGGGATAATTTGTTTTTCACCTGTAATACGTAAAATGTTTAATCATGTAAGGAATATGGAAAACATGCTTTTTTTACTTGTATTCATTCACTTAAAAAACAGAACGTAACAACATTGTAATTTTTATATTGCCTGAAAGATATACTTAAAATGGGCTAGAAGGAAAACATCAAGAATGAGAGAGTTAGAAGGAAAACAATAAGAATGAGAGAGTTAGAAGGAAAACATCAAAAATGAGAGAAAGAAATCATGAGGAAAATAAAGAATGGAGAATGCAAACAAAGAATAAAGAAAACATCTGAAGGACACCATCAAGAGAGTGAGTGAGTGTCTTTTCCCCTAACCCCCTCAGATAGAAAAGTCTTAGTATGTGCTGACACTGTGGATTCCTTTGGAGCCCTGTGCTGCTGGAGGCTGGGCCCCCAGGCAACAATAGGTGGCCCGTTGCCCTGGGCCTAAACCCAGCACTTCAGTGTTTGCCCACACACCTGCCCCTCTCCCAAAGTGTTTCCCCTGCGTCCCCAGTCAGGATTGAGAGATCTCCAAGCAGATTCCTTAAAGGAAGCTGTTCATGACTCAGCAGAGGCAAGAATTTGTGGGTACAGGTCCCTGTTACACTCAGCTAAGCCCCGTGTATACACGCAGCTGTGCAGTTAGTCAACCTCTCCTGCCTAGGAAACTGCAGGTGCCAGCACAAAGCCAGAGTTTTATGCCGAGGAATCATTAAGCATGTGTACACCAAGCATACACCTTGTCAGCTGATGCAGGAAAGTCAAAATTATATGCAAACCCTATACCCTGGTGGGAAGTATAGTGATCCATGGAAGAGGCAAAATGAAGAAACTCCTGGGTAGTCCCTAGCGGTCCATGGTTTGATTTCTGGTTTCACCTGGAATAAGGCCCAGAAATCCTTCTAATTAATGCATTCTTTATTCTCAATTTTGAGGTTAGGTTGGGTGCTATAGGCCAGCTCATACAATGGACAGAGTTCTATGTCCTTAGGCTTCCCTCTATCCATCAGCACTCATATGTTCTCATGTTCAGGCATGCACACCTATGTAATGTACTCATATGTTCTCGTGCTCAGACATCCACACCTATGTAATGTACTCACATGTTCTCGTGCTCAGGCATCCACACCTATATAATGTACTCACATGTTCTCGTGCTCAGGCATCCACACCTATATAATGTACTCACAGCCCCTGCAATATTCTTAGTGCTTAGTGCATGGAGCTGGCCTGCAGCAGAGCATTGGGACAGCCAGAATTGAGCTTCTGAGCCACACTTTTTATCATCACATCATGACTACCACAGAAGCTAACACCAGGACACCTACTGAGATCTGGATGCACTCACCCTGGATGGACGCACAGGTTTGCAGGTCTGTAAAACAGTGCTCACAGTGCAACTGTAGATGGATACAGGACAAGAATCTAGCAACACAAATAAACATGCCTGAAAAGTAAGTTTCTATATTCAAAGAAGTAGAAAACACTTCCACCCATCTGGCTCACACAACACTCTGTGTAATTCAACTGTCATGTAAACTTTATGAACCCTGAGGCCAGGGAAGAGCTAGTCCAGAATGAAGACAGAGTTTCTAGAGAGGGCCATGTGGGCCCAGGGTCCTGTTGACTGGTGATATCAAAAAGGAAAGTCCTGAGTTTACAGTAGGCAGCTGTTCAGCTTGAATGATAGCCACATAGCTGCAGAGTGACTCCACTCCAAAGCTGTGTCTTCCATAGCAGGTAAAGACCAAGGAGGGACATGAGGAGCAACTCCTAACCAAGGATTCTAGGGACAGTCTGCGCTAAAATCCCGGCAGCTATCTTTCTTCCAGGCATGGATCCCTCCTTGCACTCTGCGCCTCAGAAGTCAACTGCAGTTCCGGAAGGCCATTGCTCACCACCCTCCCAGGGTACCTGAGCTCAGGAGGAGCAGGGACTTCCTGTTGGACCAACCCAAATCCTTCAGCAGCTTCCCAAGCAAAGAGGGCCATAGCCTGTGTTTGTGGAATTATCTAGTTTGGGATGCGATCTCAGGGCCTGTTTCCCAAGAAGTGACTTGCCCTCCCTTAACTGCCCATAATTCCTGCAACAGACAGGAAGCCCCCCTAGTTTTACCCAAAACACCGATTCTAAATATCCACTTTTTGCAGGGGAACTGAGACTGCTGAACTGAGAAGAGAGAGGACAGGCTGCTTCTGTGGTATGAGTCAGCGGCCTCTCCTGGGCTCCCTAATCATCACTAAGAAAGACTTTGCTGACAACAGTGTTTGCAGATCCATGTGTACCTGGGAGTGGTGAAAGCCCTGGGCACAGCAGCAGGGGCACCATGAGCCTCAGTGAGGAACAGGTACGCACCTTCTTAGATGGGAACCCCACTTTTGCCCACCAATATTTTGGGAAGAAGCTGAGCCCTGAAAATGTGGCAGGGGCCTGCGGAGATGGTTGGCTGGCAGACTGTGGCAGCCTGCGAGAGCTGTGCCAGGTGGAAGAGAGTGCAGCACTGTTTGAACTGGTACAGGACATGCAAGAGAGTGTCAATATGGAACGTGTGGTCTTCAAGGTCCTGCGGCGCCTCTGCACCATCCTGCATGCAGACCGCTGCAGCCTCTTCATGTACCGCCAGCGCAATGGCATAGCGGAACTGGCCACACGGCTCTTCAGCGTGCAGCCAGATAGCCTCCTGGAGGACTGCCTGGTGCCCCCTGACTCTGAGATCGTATTCCCACTGGACATTGGGATTGTGGGCCATGTGGCTCAGACCAAGAAGATGGTGAACGTGCAGGATGTGTCAGAGGTGGGTGTCTCCAGCCAGGATGCAGAGGTATGCTCTGCCTCGGCATACAGAGACTTCACAAGGACCTCAGGTCCAGGGCCAAGGTTCTTGTAGCTCACCCTTGCCTACCCGATCTGGACACAGTGCCTAGCCTCCTGTCTTCCCCTTCCAGGACCTAGTCTTTCACATTTCCAGTAAAAAGAAAGCGGAGGGCGGGGGTGGGGGTGGGGGGGTAGGAGGGGGCGGGGGGAGCTCAAAGGGAGCTTTAAAGGGTCCCTCTTTTTCCCTATGACATTCACACAGCTGCATAATTGTCACAGAAATACTATTTAAGAGACGTTCTTGTGGAAGATTTTCAGACTCAGCCTCTGGCCTTACCAAGGGTTCTGTATCTGGGGTCCAAGGTCAGGTCTCTTTTATACATGGTAAGCACAGTGAGAACCTAGGGTAATTTCAGTGATCATCAGGGGTGAAGAGTCTTCCCTGAGTGACTATAGTTGTCTGCACAGGGCTCTGAAGGGGTCAGGCTAGGGCTGGTATAGAAACCAGCAGCCCCAAACACCAGTCATGGCAGAGGCAGCTTTACCCACAAAGGGAGGGACCACACTGGTCCTGGAGGCAGAAAATCTGGGATCCAGGAAAGGGTGGGGATGGAGTAACAAGAGAGTCAGGGGCCAGAATGGAAATGGACTTATTAACAGACTCCATGGAAGCTGCTGGTCTGTGGCAGGTATAATCAGGACAGAGCTCCCATAGGTGGGAAGTACTGTGTGTCTGGACATGATGAGTGAGGTACTCACTAGATACTGGCTTGACAACAGCTAGGGAGGGGTCAGAGAAGGGTCAAAAAGTGAGTTCCAGGAATTAAGGAGCTCCACAGAAGGATTGGGGAACAGTCTCCTTCTCCCTGCCTAGTCCCCTCCTCTTTTTCTCCTTCTTCCTTCCTCAAGGGACCCAGGAAACCTCAGCACCTGCTGCATAGGTCAATCACATCTAGTTTGGAATCCCAGAGCAGGAGAAGGTCCCCTCCTAGATAGATCCTCCAGGGCAGTCACTACCCTTGCTCCTGGCCAAGTAAGAAGGCTGGGTAGGAGGGTGTTGCAATCCTCTTATCCTCATCTGTTATAAACAGGCAGCCACCCAGCGACCTGAATCTGCAGGATTATCTTGGCCTTCACTTGGCTTCCTTTTTAAGAAATGGGTCATTCATGAGCCAAATGGAGCATAAATTACCAACAAAGCAAGAAATTTGGTATATAGGGGAGACTGGGACAGGACATTAATATTCTAGTGCTCATGATCTAACCATCCTTCCTCATTTTCTCATCTTTCCCCCCTCTTGCCGCCTCCTTTCCTCCTTCCTTCTTTCATTCATTCCCATTCTTCCTCCTCCTTCCTCCATCCCACCTACCTTCAGACAACCCTCAAATCATTGCCTCCACATATCCCTGACTCTGGGACTGGACTTCCAACTGCCCCCATCCACACCAGAGTAATGGTGTTGCTCTGAGGGTCAGTTCAAGTTGCAGGGCTGTCCTAAATCCTATACCCATACCTACCCATGTCCTAAAGCCCCTCTCCAGTGTTTCTAGTCATTTTTGTGGCCTAAAGATACATCCTTGGTGGCAGGGACACCATGCCTTCTTGTAAGATGATTCTGTAAACTGCAGGTTGTACTAGTTTGTATTGATCCTGGACTGGAGGAAAAGGAATAATAGTCAAAGTTAGCAAAATCCAGATTTCCATTAGCTGCATCGGCACACTCTTCATTGCTAAGGATAGGATTCTGGATTCACATACTAGTTTTCAGCAGAAAACACTGAGACAGACTGCACAGGGTCTCTCTAACACATTCGGTGCCCTCCTTGCAAATGGTAAGCCACATGGTGGACCTTTGTGGTAGTGTTGTCTATAGTATGGAACACAGAACAACAACACAGGGCTGATGCAAAGTTTTAGTTGCACATAGGTACTCACTACACCTGGACACACTTGTCTCCAGGTTTTACTGATGAAACGTCTATTTCACCACATGGTTGAAATGGTTAAACCAGACTGCTACTAAGCATAAACAGACCCTGAGTATAGGTAGATACTGAACACATCTAAACCATGAGCACAGTCAAAATCTGAGTACAGGTATACCATGAGTACAGGAAGATCTTGAACACCTTAGGATCGTGAGCAAGGTATATCACCAGTACAAGAAGGCCGTGAGCACAGGCAGACCACGAGTACAGGTGTACTATAAATGTGACTACTTCATTGGTGCAGCTATACCATGAGCACAGGCAGACCATGAACACAGGTAGAACAAGATCATAAAACAGAGCACAGGTAAACTGCCTAGAGCAAGGAGTAGCAAGTATGGGAAACTGGCTCTCTGAGCCATGAGTGTCCATGTTCTTGGCATTGAGGGTATCGGACTGCTAATGGTTCTGATGTGATGTTTATCTCTGAAGCCTCATCTTCCTGCCTGCTTCTAACTAGAAGCACATCCTAGGATGTGGCTCTGTGGAGAAAAAAGTCTGCTTGAGGCTCTGCTCACATATCTATCCTGAGGGGAATTTACCTCTGAGTAGAGAACCTGAATCCATGGCCTGGGACTCTGCCACCGGACCCTATAACTGCATCTGAGTGTAACAGCTGCTCCCAGGCTAAAAATCTGAATGACAGATATTCTGCTAGGTCTCAGGTTCATTACAATCTTTCTGGTAACCAGTTTAGAACTGAATAAGGTCTCATACTCCAAAATCACACACCCAAGAGCCCATAAAAACCAGAGGGTAGAGGATGGGTTCTCTGTCTTCCCCTCAACATGTCAGAATCCAACAAAACAGCATGATCAGCTGCCCTGCCTAACTGTCTTCTAGAGAAGTCTGTTAGCAGGAAGAAGGCCAGGACGGCACACATGATGTCAACCCAAAATACAAGTGGACAGAGATTCACTAAAAATAGTTATAATTATTTGACAATAGCAAATCATTGCAATGGGAATCCATATGTCCCGGCACACTATTAATGTATTCAAGGAAGTTAAGATGGGGGTAGATTTCAAAGACAAAAGAGAGAAAAATCAGAAGCTGCTCCATACAAAGTTCATTGGTCTTAGGGATCAGAGGCAAGAGTTGGCATCAGCTCACTGGTAGAGGTACCCATGCTGGACAGGATTCTGTTCAGTGTGTCTTAAATGAATTATTTTGATCTTAGGGACTATTAGAGATAAACTTTGGGTAGGTGTGGTGGTGCATACCTTTAATCCTAGAACTGTGGAGGCAGAGGCAGGTGGATCTCTGTGAATTAGAAGCCAGTCTGGGCCGGGCGGTGGTGACACACGCCTTTAATCCCAGCACTTGGGAGGCAGAGCCAGGCAGATCTCTGTGAGTTCCAGGCCAGCCTGGGCTACCAAGTGAGTTCCAGGAAAGGCACAAAGCTACACAGAGAAACCCTGTCTTGAAAAAAAAAAAAAAAAAAGAAGAAGAAGAAGCCAGTCTGGTTCTAGCCTAGCCAGGGTAATATAGTAATACCCTATCTCAAAAAAAAAGGATAAACTTTGCTATAGAAATCTATGCATACATTGGGAATGGAAAACATGACAGAAGAAATATCCCCGGGGTCTTTGGAAAGTCCTGAAGAAAGTGTTTACCTCAGAGAAGAAGCATGAGTGTCCCCATGTCCTTCCATTACCTCCTGAGTCCAATTATTTCTTGGATCTGACAAGAATTATTTAATCCTTTCATCATTAATTTTTATATTCTCCCTTTGATCAAGAACATTCTTCAAAATCATTGCTGATCAACTAACATGCAACTCACATTGTATCAGTGATGCTGAGAGGGTCCTGTACTGATTGGCTGGGTGAGTTGCTTGGCTGTTGAGGAAAAAGATGAACAGCTAGAAATTAGTGTCAAGACTCTTTCAGTCATATTTGGCTAGCAGGAAGCCAGAGGGTAAAGTTCTCAGGATTGGTCCCCTGCATTTTGTCACTAAGCTCCTTCTCATCAGGTGCTGGCTATCATCTCAAGGCACTGGGACAACTGTCATTTTGTTAGGATATGAACTCCTATCCACACGGGACAAATAGCAGGTACAAGTTTAAAAGTAGCAATACAAAGTATTATTAACAATAATACAATAATCTCAGTTTTCATGTTATTTTATGGAGGAAGGTTTATCTATTTTATTTTATTTATTTACTTGCTTACTTATTTATTCATGGTTTGTCAAGACAGGGTTTCTCTGTGTAGCCTTGGCTGTTCTGGAACTCACTCTGTAGACTAGGCTGGCCTCAAACTGTCTCTGCCTCCTAAGTACTGGGATTAAAGGCATGCACCACCACCACCTGGCATTTTTTTTTTTGGTTTTTGTTTTGTTTTGTTTTGTTTTGTTTTTGAGACAGGGTTTCTCTATGTAGCTTTGCACCTTTCCTGGAACTTGCTTTGTAGACCAGCCTTGAACTCACAGAGATCTGCCTGCCTCTGCCTCCCGAGTGCTGGGATTAAAGGCATGTGCCACCACTGCCTGGTGGCATTTTTTTTAATAACTATTTTTTTTATTTTAATTTATTTTGCAATACAATTCAGTTCTACATATCAGCCACGAATTCCCTTGTTCTCCCCCCTCCCATCCCCCTCACCTTCCCCCCAACCCCCCCCCCCCCCCCCATTCCCATCTCCTCCAGGGCAAAGCCTTCCCCACAGACTGAGGTCAACCTGGTAGACTCAGTCCAGGTAGGTCTAGTCCCCTCCTCCCAGGCCGAGCCAAACAATCCTGCATAGGCCCCAGGTTTCAAACAGCCAACTCATGCAATGAGCACAAGATCTGGTCCCACTGCCTGGATGCCTCCCAAACAGATCAAGCCAATCAACTGTCTCACCCATTCGGAGGGCCTGATCCAGTGGGGACCCCTCAGCCATTGGTTCATAGTTCATGTGTTTCCATTCATTTGGCTATTTGTCCCTGTGCTTTATCCAACCTTGGTCTCAACAATTCTCGCTCATATAAACCCTCCTCATTCTCGC